AATAAGACCACAAAGTACCATCTGGCTGAGAACAAGATACAAGTGCTTGACCTCCACATAGAGTCCCCGTCAAGCCCTTCATTCAGAGCTGACAAGATGATCAGAACCTGAACATACTGTTCTGTGCAGCTTTGTAATTTGGCAGCATAGAAATGTTCTGCAAATAAACCAAAGTCCACCAGGCTTGTCAGGCGTGTAGGCCATACTGAGATTTTAGTAGAGCTGCACTTTTCTGAAAGCAGATAATATTGCATGAGAAGCAGAAGACACAAAAGTTTTTGAATCCCTTGTAAGGGTTTCCCAGACTGTTCCAGACAAGGTAATATAAACTGCCTTCTCAAGAACAAAGAAAGGATTTTGAAAAACTTAAGAGCTCTGTGGTGACTTTCAGAGGTTTCCTTCCATCAGTTGTCATCTGTAGGTTTGGAAAGAACTGAAGTAAATGGGCATTAGGAGAAGTTAAACCATTAAGAGATAACATCATGAACTTGCACCCAAAAAGTGCCTAAGTTGAAATGGAAAAATACCCATCAATTGTGAATGGCACGTATATTTAAAAGGTGGGATTTTCACCAGCAAAAGTGTTAGCAGGAACATACTTTTCTCCAAAATCCAACTTATAATGTACATGCACCATTCACAATTAATGAATGTTACCTGTGTGTTTTGCCATTTAAATCCAGGTGTGCTGTTTATACCAGAGTCCCAAAAAACTGAACTGTGAATTGGCCTTCAAACTCCTAGACAGGGGTCAGCAACCTTTTTCAGCAGTGGGCCGGTCCACCATCCCTCAGACCATGTAGTGGGCCGGACTATATTTTGAAAAGAAAAAAAAATGAACAAATTCCTATGCCCCACAAATAACCCAGAGATGTGTTTTAAATAAAAGGACACATTCTATTCATGTAAAAACACGCTGGTTCCCGGACCATGCGCGGGCCGGATTTAGAAGGCAATTGGGCCGCATCCGGCCCCCGGGCCTTAGGTTGCCTACCCCGTCCTAGAATGTTTCCCAATGCAATGCTGTGATGCTGACATACTGCTTTTCCCCTTAAGAAGACTAGCTGCCACTGAAGCAACAGGACTGGCTGGATGGGCATCAAACAGGGATGCTGCTGTTGAATCTTGCATTGTAGGTCCTGTAGTATTAAAGAAGCATGCTGCTAAACCTGTGCCTAATTTAAAAGTGCTTGCAAATTGACAGGGATGCATGAGCATCTAGGGCAGGGGTGTCTAACTCAAATTCATCGGGGGCCGCATCAGCAGTTTGGTCACCCTCAAAGGGCCGGTTGTATCTGTAGGACTTACAGTACAGGAGAGAAGGGTTCAGGCAGCCGTTGGATCTGTCACATCACAGGATGGCATACGCTCAATATAAAAACAAGTGGAGGTTTCCTGAATGCATGTAAAGTGGAGGTTTCCTGTGTAGAACGGCCGGCGCCGCTAGAGGGCAGACGTTCTCTGGCTTGTAGGCTGCCGCACATGCGCTGAAGAGGCGGCTTTCTTGTGTCAAAAAAAAAAAGTGAAAATAAAAGGTGAAGGCTGGCGGCCGGCGGCGGCTCCACGGGCCACATGACGAGGTCTGGCGGGCCGGATTTGGCCTGCGGACCTTGTGTTTGACACCCATGATCTAGGGTGTATCAGTATAGTAATACTCATTTATGAATGAAGTTTCATTAATTTACACACTCACGTCCTAGGAGAACTTAGCAAATAACGATGAATGAAATCTAACATAGGGGGTATGATCTGGTTGTGGCAGCCCCCAGGCACAGCAGCCATTCCATGAGCAGGGACCCTGTTCTTGCAACCAAATCCAAAGGGTGTCTTACACGGGCAAAAGTGTTGTGGATCGTTTACCTGTTGTATTCAGGTTTTTTTATTGTTGCATTTGTGTAATAATAATAATAGCTTGCAGAACAGTGCCAAATCTCCCACTTTTCATGCCAACATTACATTGGATCTCAGTGCACTGTTGAATCTTTCAGTGCCAGGATTTGGTCTGAAGGCACAGGATGCAAAAGCTTTTCTGAAGCTGAGCAGTTCTTGGTCTAGTCAGCGCTTGGATAAGAGAATGTCTGACTGCTACACTTGGTCTTGGCCAATGGAGGAGTGGTTTGGAGTTGGCTGAAATGGCAAAATTCACATGTCATGGTTAACATTTGCTAAAGATTGGAAACCTGTTATAGACTTCTTGTGTGGAAAAGAAAATGAAGTACAGTGGTACCTCGGGTTAAGTACTTAATTTGTTCCGGAGGTCCGTTCTTAACCTGAAACTGTTCTTAACCTGAAGCACCACTTTAGCTAATGGGGGCCCCTGCGCCGCCGGAGCACGATTTCTGTTCTCATCCTGAAGCAAAGTTCTTAACCTGAGGTACTATTTCTGGGTTAGCCGAGGCTGTAACCTGAAGCATATGTAACCTGAAGCGTATATAACCCGAGGTACCACTGTAATGACATTCGGGTTTGAAGGCTGAAGATAATGTTGGTTTATAGAAAGTAGTTTTGCGGGGTGTTATGTTGGAGTGGATGAGTTGAATAATGTTTATATATAGCTGACAGGCAAAGAGTCTAAAGTTCTTTAGTTTCTTAACTTTATTTTTTCCTTTTAATCCTTTTTCTATCTCTCTACCTCTTTCTCTTTATTTTATTTTATTCTTCTTCTTCTTCTTCTCTCTCTCTTCCTCTGGATCTGTGTTGGTTGTTTTTTCCAGATTAACGCTTTAGTTTGGATACAAAAGATACTGGATAATATTCTCTGTAGCTCTCTTTTAAAATTCTAATAAAATTTATTTTTAAAAAAAGATAAAAGTGCCTGGGAACTCACCTTTGGTTCCAGAAAGAAAGAGGCAGGATATAAATGAAATAAGTTAATTGAAAGTTATTTCCCTTCTTTACACAAAAGCATCAAACATTGTTGGAAATAAATTTTAATCCTGAATCCAAATTAAAGTCTAGTGGGTTTTGGAGGTTTCTGCATGAGTTTGTTCCTTGTTTTCTAAGTGATTGTGACAAAAAGGACTGTATTTAGGGAAATAGAGGAAGCCACATTTTTTTCTTGCCAAAACAAACGTACGCAGACATGTGTAATCTACGCATTTCAGTGCATGTGAAAATATTTGGTGCTGCAAAGTAACTTCCTCGGGTGAAAAGAGAGAGGAAATCAAAACTACATTAGTCATTGAACATAGGGAATTTGTTTATGAATATCATTTCCTGGCAGACACATTCAGCCCAGGACTAAGTGTCGCAGAGAGTGGGGGAGGGATGTGAACATTTGAAGCTGCCTGACGCTAGGCAGTAAATGTCTGCTCTGATGGATGGTGGCTCTCCAGCATGAATATGGCAAAAGTACAAGTGCACATTGCAAGAAATATTTTGAGAGCAAAGCACCTGGGGGCTGTACAGGAAAATGTACAGAAAAGAGCAGAACAAATTGAGGAAGGCAAACCTCCTACCACTTACCGTATTTTTTGCTCTATAAGACTCACTTTTTCCCTCCTAAAAAGTAAGGGGAAATGTGTGTGCGTCTTATGGAGCAAATGCAGGCTGCACAGCTATCCCAGAAGCCATAACAGCAAGAGGGATTGCTGCTTTCACTGCACAGCGATCCCTCTTGCTGTTCTGGCTTCTGAGATTCAGGATATTTTTTTCTTGTTTTCCTCCTCCAAAAACTAGGTGCGTCTTGTGTCTGGTCTTATAGAGCGAAAAATACGGTACATAACGATATATATGATGCAGAACTAAGTTATATAGTGTACTTGTCATGTACTAAGTTGCATGTGTGAAATGGAACCAAGACTACATTCTGCGTATTGAGTTAAGCTGTGATGGCCATACGAAAAAGAACTTTGTGACTTTGTGACCTTGATTAGATAAGTTAGACTTCTCAGTCTTTTAACTAGAGGTGCCACACAGAAGTATGCAGACTCTATCATGCAATAGAGCATAGCATTTCTATATCCCTTTTGCAAATTACTCCACATACTTCATCTCGATGATCCTTGCACCAGCTGTGCAAGGTAAGCTAGCATTCTCTCCAGACTCATGACCTCCAGACCTAAGGACTACATTCAAGTAGCCACACACACAAAACCCCTTTTGGTTTAACATGTTGCGTTTAAAGGCTCCCCATGCTCACTCAAGCTCCAGAATGCTGGGAAACTGCAGCTGTTAAGGGCAGACATCACCTTATCTGTCATGTAGAGAAATTGCTTTCTTGGAACGGAAGGGCTATTGGGATCGCAGCCCAGGTACCTAGGAAAACAGTCAGAAATCTGCACTGCAGGAAATACCTCCCCAAAGTTTCAAGAAATAGATTCCCAATTCACAAGGAGGTGAATGGTCTTGAGAACCTAGTACATATATATGACAAATATATCGAATAGCTAGGTATGCTTCTAAGGTGATTTAACTGTGTGCCTAAAAAACTAATGTGATGTGACAAATGTGTGCAGGCATGGCCATCATTGCAAGAATGACAGTGCACACCTCCAATGTATACATTTGGTGGCAAATAGCTCTCTGTTGACCCAAATAGGCACCACTGGCACATTCCCAGCACTGCCCACCAGGCTACATAGACAACGAGCAACATCCAAAACCTTTTCACCAGGCAGGCAACTCACCATGTGGTCTGCACATCCTTTGCACACCCAGCTAACTATGTCCATAATGATTTAATCACCCATAACTAGGGTCCCTCAAGAAATCTCCCCAAGTCTTTATCATGGTCATTCTGCAAAGGGTAGGAGACAGCCAGCACTTAGAGTGTGAATTGTGATTGGGAAAAAGAGTCTCTGCTATTCTATTTGCTGTAATACGTACCTTTTTTCCAAAACGGCAACATTTTTGAGAGATTTACAAGACCCCATTTTTGTGGCCCATAACGCCATTTTGAAACATACACACATATTTAAAGTGTTGAAGATAATTATGGTTCTCCAAAAGCAATAGTTCAAATGCTTAGCACCGTTTTCCTCCCCTCACATCTTTGGCAGATTTCCCCAAGCGAATCGCAAAATGATTTACAGAAGAAAAAACGGCGTGCCCCTCCCCCACCGACTCCTCCAATACAGAACAGGACAGAAGAAATGGAAGACAAGAGGAAAAGCACCGTTGGTAAGAACAATTTGTTATGATTGCGCCTGATGCATGTGCTTTATGCTTATCTGCAAGTTGTGTGATATATTGGTACTAATAGTAACATATTCCCACATGGACAAGAAACAATGTAATCTGGAAAATTATTAACATGACAGAATGAAAGTCTGGAAATAAGAAATAATCTATATTTTATGAATTGGTTGAAGAGCTCTGCTGGAGTAGATAGACAGACAGATAGAGTGTGTAACATATAATAATGTGTATTAAATAATTGGTTATATTTCAGTTTTCATTGTAATGTTGAATATTAAACAGCACTCTTCTGGTGCTTTAACATTCCTTTCTTAGGTACTCAGACAACATTCCTCCACCTTTATCTAGCTACAGAGATTACTTATGAAAAGTGGTGTATATTGAATATATACAAGTACAATAAAACCCAACTTAATGGTTGTTGTTTTGTGAGTATATATTGGATATTATGGGCAAAATTGTCTTATGTCTAGAAATAATAAGTTGTAAATCAGTCCAGGGCAAAAAAAAAGGCATACTCTTCCAAATTTCGAATTAATTTGGTTCAGCTGAAAATTCTTCACAATCAGTTGGTATTATACTTAGTCACATCCTTAGCAAGCTGCCATTTGATGGATTGCTAAAACCTATGAGAGAAATCATACACAGCAGCAATAATCAACCAGTATATTAAATTAATCAAGTTACAGCTTCTGTGATGCATTTAAGATTCCATCTGATGGCCTCATGTTCCCTAAAGCAACCAGTACATGCATAAATGAACACTCTTAATTGCTTACATTATAAATGCCTCCCATTTTGGAAGAAACCATTTGGCTTTATGTCTATATTTATTTTCACTAAATTACCTCATATTTAGTGTTCCAATTTTTAAGTAGCAATAGAAATCCATTAGCTTGGGTATCACTGATGTGCTTGTTTATATATCTAGAAAGAATATTGTTATGAAGGACTATTTTAAGAACATTGTACATCTCTTTAATCTCTCTGGATGTTATAACCTTACTGTTCTCACAAGGGGTACCATCTTGAATAATATATTGAGGGGGCCCAGGTAAGCCCTGGCCTGCACAACCAATCACACGATGCAGCACACACACACCATTTGAATGGCAATCCCCATCAACTTTGGGGGTCTCCGGCCCCCTCAGATATTTTATTTGGGGGGCAAACGGACCTTGGCCCCTAGGAGTTGACTCCTATGGGTTCCAACCCTCCCCATTCAACCTCTGTATATTTACTGGTGACAATGAAAGTTTTGAATTATGCCCTGATAATTGCACGCCACTGCACAGAACATGTTGGATGAAAGAGAATCAGTCATGTGGTTTAGTGAGCAAAGTGTCAGGCTTAGCCTGAGGAGATCTTGATTCCAGTACCCCCTCTCAGCCATGGAGCTCACTGGTGTTGTTGGGCCTGTTGGTCTCAGCTAATTTGCAAGAAAAAGTATGTGGGGGGATTTGCCACCCCACCATCCTTGGAGGAAGGTAGATGTCTAACAAAGAACATGTCCACAGCAGTACAAGTGATGACTTGTTGACTTATGCCCCACTTAGTGTGTGTTGGCAGAAATGTTTTACGTAAGTTTAAACCACTACAGCAGGGATGGGGAACTTGTGACATTCCAGAAGTTTCTGGACTCAAGTTCTTATCAGCCTTAGTCAACATGGTCAGGGTTATGAGAGTTGTAGTTCTGCAATGTCTGGAGAGAAATAAGTCCAAGTGCCTCCATTATAACTTTAAAAACATATGCAGACTTTAACAGCATTTATATGAATGGGTGATATCCAGTTAAATAGTAGAGTAGACCCATTAAAACAAATCAACTTTACATCAGGCATTTTTGAATGGATCTACTCTGAGTAGGAGAGGTGGATGGAAGAGAATAAAACATGATACAAGGGAAGAATGATGGGTCATCTGACGTGATCAGACAATGCAAGACCACAAATAGGGCTTGAAGTAAGGAAAAATATATTGCAAGGCAGTACCTTGTGGTTTTGTGAGCACATGCTTTGAAGTTTTTGATTATCATAAAAAATACTGCAAAGCATGCCTACACCATACCATACTTGCAAATTACACCATCCAGCAGGCTTTTTCACAATTATGAAAAACGGTGTTTGATTGATTGTCCTAGATGCCCACTACTTAAAACAGTCAATGTTTATTAGTCGGCACCTATACCCTTTGGCATGGCCAGCTTCCCAGACTCTAATCGGTGGATGGCAGCTTGGAAAAAGTGGTTTTCACACGCAGTCGGAGCAAAACTAAGCAATAGATATTTGACTTGATGATCAAAGTAACTAGTAAATTCCAATTGATTCCCCTGTAGGTAATGGACGGCATGTGCCACGAAAGCCTCCTAGAGGCAACCCACGTGGCCCACCCCAGTTAGTGATCCCCCCACCCCCACCATACCCTCCTCCTGACAGAGATACTATGGATCCAACCGTATTGTACAGTGAAGCCGATGTTACAGACCCACCCAAGCTGGTGCCTAAACGTATGTTTGAATAATTGCATATTTCATTTTCTTTACTTCCGTGGCGGGGGGGTGGGGGTGGGGCTTTTTCCAGACTTTCCTCTGTTCTCTTTCCAGTCATACATGTGTTTTCCTCTCCACTCTGTCTCCTTTTTAAAAAAATGCACAATGCATTATATTAATTTGACTAATATATTTGTTTCAAGAATGTCAACTCTTTACTGATAACAATCGTGATCTTACTTCATGCGTTTGGATACTAAAATGAGATTCATTATTTGTTTTTTGTTTCTTTTTTTATAAAGTTTTTATTTATTTATTTAGGGTTTTCTCGTTGTTTCCTCTCGTTTCAACATAGCGTTGTTGTCGTTTTCCTCGCTTTCAATGAACGTTGTAGCCCATTTTTCACAAAAATACTATTTTTGAGATAATATTAAATAGCCCACATTTATTCTCGTATCTGTCTAGTGCTTACAGTCTACAGCTCTGCCTTTTTCAAAAGCACCTGACTTATAGGTATAAAACTGTGTTGGGGGGGAAGGGGAGACAGCATTTTAAATGCTAAAAAAGTAATAATGAAGAACAAAATCCACAGTTTTTCAGTTAATTTTGTCTGTTTTTTAATAGAAGTTTTGTAAGTGTATTTGCATCTGCAGTCAGGGATAGAGCAAGATTGGAGGGGGAAAGATAATGAAAGCTAACCATTGTCTGGGTTAAAGCAGCCTGCCTCTTTATTACAGACAATTTGGGACTGAATGGACAGCCCCCCCCCCCAATATTACTGACTTCCCATCTGCTGACATGGCAGGCAAGAAGGAAGGCTGACTTGAAACAGCACTGGTGGGGGCCACATTTCTGTCACAGTAACAAAACTGGGACCTGAGCCCTTCCATCCAAGGCCACTTAAGAGGGGTGGGAAGTTTGAAGAGCCTACCTCTGATTCTCCCCCAGCCTAACACCCAAGTTCCAGAGTCAGTGGCCTAATGGACCCAACCAGATATGGAGAGCAAGTTCAAGGAAAAGCTAGTGTTTGCTAAGGTTAGGGATGGGGGGCAAATTTGATTCAGTTTGCATTTACAGTGGTGCCTCGCAAGACGAAATTAATCCGTTCCGCGAGTCTCTTCGTCTTGCGGTTTTTTCGTCTTGCAAAGCACGGCTATTAGCGGCTTAGCGGCTATTAGCGGCTTTAAGAAAAAGGAAACAAACTTGCAAGAACTCGCAATACGTTTCGTCTTGCGAAGCAAGCCCATAGGGAAATTCGTCTTGTGGAACGACTCAAAAAACGGAAAACCCTTTCGTCTAGCGAGTTTTTCGTCTTGCAAGGCATTTGTCTTGCGGGGCACCACTGTAAAGCCAAATTTATCATGGCCTCACTTTCCAGAAAAAATATAAGATTCAAAACACAGCCATCCAAAATGTGCGTGTATGTGAATTTTGTGATGCAGTTTTTTGCTTTACAATATTTTATTTTCAAAACATAAACACAGTAAAACAGTATATCAGTACATGTATGGCATAGTGCCAATATGACACACCCCACCCTGAAATTGGTGGGAAGGAACCAACCTCCCATTGCAAAACAGCAATGCTCAGTTCAGACAAAATAAAAAGAAAAGTGACTTGGTATTCCTAGCTGCCAGTCATGGTCCCAGGTTAGATTTATTTCTAAGCCTTCTGGCAAATATCTCTTTGCCCATGTAAAGAAATCATTTAGGGATAATTGAGGGAATCAACCATATGTGGGAAGGCTGATGCCCAGGACAGGTTCTTAGGTTATTGTCTCGTGCAGAGAAAGAATTCCCATTCCAGTTCAGTCTCTTAGCCCAGACCTCTGTCCCACTGCCAAGTGGCCTGAGGGTCGTCTTCCTGCATTGTGATGTAGCAAAGCCATGAAACCAGCCGCTTCCTGTCAGCTGCCACCCAATCCCCTTTGTGCACTTTTTCATTTAATACATTGTGAAAATACAAAATATAAACGTGGTCGTTGCGTGGACAGGTGGAGTCCCCCAAACCCTGGGCGGCCGGGCCCCCCATGTGGAATAACGATTCAAGACAACGTGCTATGGGATTAAAATTGGCCACAACTTTATTATATTTCGGATGTGGGTAGATCTTGGTTCAGGCATTGGGTGTTTATCCCTCCCAGTCCTCCGCCAGGGATCTGGGGAAAATCAGGGTTATCCAGTGGGGGGGGGATGGGCTGGCTCTGGAGAACATATGTTCAAGCAGAGAGAGCCCACCCCTCGTTACGCCGCTGTCGCAGGGGAGAGCACTGACGACCTCTAGGCGTATGGTCAAAGCCTCCCCTCAAAAACCCCTTTAATGGGGAACCCTGGTATCGCCGCCGCAAAGAGGAAGGGGGCAGGGGTCACCACTGCACGCCCCCCCATTCAGGGAAGATAGACTAAAGGATTCCACCCAAGGCCTGATACCGCCAAAGTTGTGATGTTTTGCTATGGGAAATGCAAACCTGCCGATGCAGGAGAATTCCTTTCTGGCCCTTCAACAGCGGCCTTGACGCAGCAGCGCCCACGTACCTGTGGAGAAAAGGTTAATCTGTAAAAGAAGGCTTAACTGAGGGTGGGTGGGGTAGGAGAAGCTCTGGAGCCAACTGAAGATTCCCAGGTAAGATCCTTCCCCTATCGTGTGGGCAGGGTCCCTCCCCCTACCTGGCCTGGTCACCTTGGCAACGCTTCCCCAGGGGGGATTGGGCAACTGGCTGAGGTAGGCGGAGACCTCCAGGTATCCCACCTGGGGAAGGCGAAGCCAAGCCTGTGCTAATGGGGCCGTATAGGGTCCAGGGGCTGCGCGCAACCACGCAAAGGGCGCCCCCCCCCGTTTAATGTGGGGAGCGGTCATTAACAGAGTTCCATTGTGTGATTCATAAAATACTGAATTCAGTTGTTGCTTTTTAAGTACTTTGCAAATGCATCTATTCAAGCCTTCCCCAGCCTGATGCCTTCCGTATATTTTGGGATGCAGCTCCCATAATCCCTGACTGTTGGCAATCTTGGCTGATGCTGATAGAAGCTGTAGCCCCAAACATCTGCAGGGAAAAGGCTGCCCTGTGAGCTTTCACCTGAACTCTTAAAGGTGTTCCTAAGTGAGAATTAGGTCTATGTCAAAGGGCTATTTGAGGTAGAAAGGACTTTGATTTGGGGGGGGGTGTCTTCCATAAAGTGTGTCTTACAGAATTGATCCACAGATGTTAATAAAGTGTCAGAATTATGCTAGAATTGTTTCTGTGAAGTTTCCCCACCAAATATTGTCCCAAGTAGACCTCTGATTCAGAAACACCAGCAGCGTTTCTGTATGTGTGTGTATAATAAAAACTGTCGCTTTCCAAAGCTGTGTTAAATAGATAAATTGGCAGTTGTTAAATATCTAACTTAAGACCTTGTCACTGGAATTCTTTCAGTATCTAGAACGTGCCTCTTGAGGGTTGTTTTTTAAATGTTGCTTGCTGGGGAGATATCTTAGGACTGCCATATCTCAGTCCTGCAGATAGGAATGGCCTGATATACATATTATGCAAACTATTTGCTGATTATTCAAATCATATGGTAGGTTGCAAAATAGCTGTGCAGCCTATAGCGTTGCAGTGTGCTTGCTTGCCGTTTTGTGCTTTGACCTATTTATTCTCCTTAAATGATCTATCCTTTTGGACCACTTTTGGACCATATATACATATATATATGTATTGTGTGCATTTCTAACATTACTGATCCATGGATGCCTTTGTCTTTATTTTATTAATCTGCTTTTCTCTATTATGTTATTTTGAGATTGGTTGAACTTTCATTCTGTGTCAGCCTTAAAAGAATGATTTGTCACATGCATGGTTTGCAGAAATTTTAATGAGTTAACATCCTCATCAGAACATATTTACTGGAGAGTAAGTTTCCATTGTGTTTGTGCGAATTACTTACCTGGTTGCAATACTATAATCTATTCATCAGTAAGTCCAATTGAGATCAGTGAAACTTACTGCAAGACAAGTGCATATATAGGAGTGTCGTCAGAATATTGCATTGAATTCTGTGTGGTGCTTGTATGCGTAGCTAACAATATATTATGCCATCATGAAATGTTTTGAAATATAAGCCTGTTCATATAGTACAGTGGTGCCTCGCAAGACGAAATTAATTTGTTCCGCGAGTTTTTTCGCCTTGCAATTTTTTCGTCTTGCGAAGCACGGCGTCGGAAAAGTTTTGGAAAAGCTTCAAAAATCACCAAAGTCTTCAAAAACCTCAAAAAAGGCTACCACACCGCGTGCTATGAGTTGCTCCTCGAAGTCAAGTCGCAACTGTATTAACGGTGTTAAGAAAAAGGAAACAAACTTGCAAGATGTTTCCGTCTTGCAATAATAATAATAATAATAATTTATTATTTATACCCCGCCCATCTGGCTGGGCCTCCCCAGCCACTCTGGGTGGCTTCCATAAAAACCAAAAATACAGTAAAATCACATGTTAAAAACTTCCCTGAACAGGGCTGCCTTAAGATGTCTTCTGAATGTTAGGTAGTTGTTTATCGCTTTGACATCTGCTGGAAGGGCGTTCCACAGGGCGGGCGCCACTACCGAGAAGGCCCTCTGCCTGGTTCCCTGTAGCAAAGCAAGCCCATAGGGAAAATCGTCTTGCGAAGCAACTCAAAAACCCAAAAACCCTTTCGTCTTGCGAGTTTTCCGTCTTGCAAGGCATTCGTCTTGCGAGGTACCACTGTACTTGGCCATTGGGGTGAGATCGGGAGTGGACCTTAGGCTTGCATACTCTCTGATTTGCTCTGGTTCACCAGATGGACTCGTACTAAACATGTCACTCTAATGCAGGGATGGGGAACTTCTAGGCTGCTGGCGTAATGTGGCCTGACAGTCCTCCACATCCAGCCCTCTTCCTCAGCCACGCCCTTGCCCCAGCCACACTCTCTGTGGGCCCACCACACACCAGATAGAAATGTGCTGTCCCTGGTCTCCCGATGATGGATGTTGATTGTCTGAAGAGTGGGCCTGATTTTTGTCC